TGTGTGTGTGTGTGTGTGTGTGTGTGTGTGTGTGTGTGTGTGTGTGTGTGTGTGTGTGTGTACCTAATTTCACTCTCAGATCTTCATATACTGTTTCCTTCCCTAACTCTATTACAAGTAATGATCCATTATTTTTCTTTGGTGAAGTAGAATCCTGGCCTAGGGCCTAAATGAAAAGCATTTAGAGATGTAAAATGTAGAAATAATATAATTTATTTTGCATTACTGGGAAGTACTTTCCACTTCAAAGAATTTACATTGATTTTTAGAAATGAAACAGAGAGAGAACAACACCCATATGTAGCCAGCTTTGCTTCCCCACTGCACCAGCTTGCTTATGCTGAACAGTCCATGCAAACAGTCCCATTGCTTTTTTCAGCAGGGTCACTGGCACAGTAATGCATTCCTCAGCTAGAACAAGACTGGCAAATTCATACCTATATAATAAAATATCATGTGGAGAAAAGCAGGGTTTGGCCATGTGTATGTGTTATATCATTGTATATCAGAAGTTTATTACACAGCATACCTGAACCATTAATGGTCAGTGCTTTATATTCACTCTAATTCATTTACTGGTTAAGGTTTATATGGCTGTCTGCACATGAGTGAATTTCACCCTGTTATTTTTCAGCTAAATTTTTTGTAAGCTGTAGTGTTGCCCACCCTAACTGCCTAAATGCTTGTTACCAATTCTTTAACCTTGAGCTCCCTTTCTGGCATCTAAAATCTCTAAAACAAGAGGAAATGCCTTGTTCCACAGGTAGCCAAATGAAGAGTATCATAGAGACAGTACAATGAAGAATTGGAGGAGGGTAGTATCTGATGGCCCTGTCTGGCTAGGTGGGTGATTGTTATTTGTTTGTATTTTGGGGGTTTTGTTTTTTTGTGATAGGCTCTAGAAAGAACTACCAAAAATGCATCTCACCAGCAAGAAGATTGCTGTGGGTTGTAGGTTTTAAGGCAGAGCAATAAGACAAAAATATCCATAGGGTAGAGACTGTTTCTGATGTGGGATAGGAAATTAAAATTCAGATGGGTCTGCTAGTAATTCTTACAGAGGTCACCCTGAGAGGCTGCAGGGTTCTGGCTATTAAAAGAATTTTTGAGAACAAGGAAGTTGCCCTCTTGAAGTGGTAAATAGCATTGCATTTTGAATGCCATTTGCTGACCAGTCATAATTATGTGATATTTAACTGTCAGTTAACATATTTTTAAATGATTTCCTCGTTGAATAGCAGTAGGTGAAAGATGTACCTCAGCCATCTGTATTGTTGCAGTGGTAATGTTGGAACCTAATAATAAAGTTGAAAATGTCAGTTGTCTTGCTTGTAGTAGAAATATTGTGAGGAAGTAGCCTGTTTATAATGTTTTAAAACCATCTAAGTAATAAATATGCTTGTTATGACTCAGCTTATAAAAGACAGAATATTTTAATACAATATAAGAATGCTGATGCCTTTTTCCAAATTGAGTAACAGTTTTAATGGCAGTAGGCCGGAGTGTTTCTGATTACCCCTTGTCATCACCCCATCTGGTATAAGGAAAAATAGTGGCTTGGATTTTCAAATGGACCTACCAGTTAGGTGCACACATCCCTTTTACTTTTAGCTGGTGGGGTCAGTTTTATTTAATTCAGACTGAGTCACACTTTTTGGCCCTGATCTTACAATGAGTTTCAAATACGCAATTCTCACTGCACAACTGAAGTTTAATATAGATTTTCACTTCTTTAAAGGCTGTTTTTGTTTACTAATTTCATAAATTTCATAGACATTAGGGCTGGAAGGGATCTCATCCAGCCCCCTGCCCAAAGGGCAGGAAGTCAGCTGGGGTCATAGGATCCCAGCAAGATAAGCATCCAATTTGCTCTTGAAGGTGTTCAGTGTAGGTGCTTGAACCACCTCCTATGGCAGGCTGTTCCAGAT